AGTCCGCCCCATCTTCCCCGGTGCCCTGCACTGGGCAGTCTGAGCAGACGAAACTCATCAGACAGTCACCCTGCAGGAGACTGGCAGGACTTTTCTGGTTCTTTTGATTTCTCATTAAAGATGGATGCTAGTTTGAGTGCATGTTGGGGAAGAGATCTCTCAAACCTCTGGAAGCCAGGGAGAGCCAGGGTTCATGCTGGTCAGCGTCGTCTCCTTCATTGGCTGGGCAGGACATTTGAAGACCCTTGGCTCGTGAGCTACACATCCCGTGGGGCTGACCACCTTGCCCTCTTCTGTGTGTATGGCTGCGTCACTTTCTTCTCCTTCTGCATCTCCACGAGGGCTCCCAGCCTCTTTCCTCACCCTCATCCTCAGCGTCTGTCTCCGTGGCTGTGTCTGAGCCTTGCCCACTTCCCCAAAGTTCCCAAGTCCGTCTGCCATATCATTCCCACTTCTGATCCAGTGCCCTGGCCCGACTGTGGGGCCCCTAACCTCTGGGCCCAGGGCTCTCTGTTGACAGCCTGGCCTTCAGGAAGAGCTAAATTCTTTCTGTGTCCCATGAGCTAGCAAAGAGAGGGCCTGGACATGCCGACGTCTGCTTATTGCATATCACGCAGTGCTGTTTGCTGTTAACTTGCTCTCTCAGTTCTGGGGGCAGCATAGTATGCGTGCTTTTGAGATGTAGCATTTCTTCCAGCTTAAGGTGTGTCCTTTTCTTAAGAATGGCCTGGCCTGCCCACCTGCCCCTTGCTGAGTTGGGTGGGCCTCCTTGGGGCACCCTTCCCAAGGAGGGGCTCCGTGTCTTCCTCTTACACACTTACCCACAACTTGACTGTCTGGGCCTGCCTTCCTCACTAAGTGGGGCTCCTCTAGGCCAGCTCTGTATTCTCTTGCCTGCTGCACGCCTGCCTGCTTCCTCGAGTATTTGTGTACCCCTCTTTTGTACTGGCATTGAGCTGGGCATGGGGTATACCCCAGTGGACAGCAGGCTCCCACCCGTGGAGGCTCTGCCTGGGGGAAGACAGACATTTGCTTCACATACCCACATAAAGTGGGACGGGCTCGGTGGATGGGCACACACATGGCCTCGAGGGTTTGTCCCTGGGCATCTTGAGCTGAGCTCTGGGACAGAGCAGAGGGAAGCACACTCTCAGCTGAGCCCCTGCCAGTGCAAAGGGACTGTGGTAGGAGGGGAGTAGCTCAAGAGCCTTGGGGGTGGCAGGGGCTCCAGGGCCCACCCTGCAGGATGTGTGTCTGGCCTCAGGCAGGGACCAAGCAGCCGCTCTTCCTTCCCTGGCCTTCCCCAGGTAGGCTGTTTAGAAACTTCGTTTTGCAAACAAGTGTTTTTTAAAGGGCTTTGTGAGCCAGGCATGGTGGCTCACGCCTGTAATCCCAGCACTTTAAGAGGCCAAGGCAGGTGGATCGCCTGAGGTCAGGAGATTGAGACCAGCCTGGCTACCATAGTGAAACCCCGTCTCTACTAAAAATACAAAAAATTAGCTGGACGTGGTGGCAGGTGCCTGTATTCCCAGCTACTTGGGAGGCTGAGGCAGGAGAATCTCTTGAACCTGGGAGGTGAAGGTTGCAGTGAGCTGAGATCCCGCCATTACACTCCAGCCTGGGCAACAAGAATGAAACTCTATCTCACATATATTAAAAAAAAAAAAGAAAGAAAGAAAGAAGGAAGGAAAGAAAAGGGGCTTTGTTGAGAAAGAGAGAAAGAAAGTAAGAAAAAGAAAGAAAAGGAAGGAAAGGGGCTTTGTTGAGATATAATTCACATGCCTTAAAAGTCTCCCCTTGAAGGTGTACAAGTCAGTGGTCGGTGGTAAGTATATTAAGATGGCAGCGCACCTGTCCCCCATGTGTCATTGACAAACATCTTCAATCCTCCGATCACCTATTAACAGTCACTCCCATGCTCCTTGCCCCGCGGCCCCTGGCAACTAATCTGCTTTCTGGTTTTATGGATTTATCTTTTCTGAACATTTCATATACATGAAATCATAATATCTAACCTTTTGTGACTATAAAGAGGTTTTTGAAAGCATTTTTTCCTTTAATTAACAAAATCAGCTTCCTTTTTTTTTTTTTTTTGAGACAGAGTCTCACTTTGTCACCCAGGCTGGAGTGCAGTGGTGTGATCTCGGCTCACTGCAACCTCCACCTCCTGAGTTCAGGCCATTTTTCTGCCTCAGCTCCTGAGTAGCTGGGACTACAGCGGTGTTTCACCACGCCTGGCTAATTTTTGTGTGTTTTTAGTAGAGATGGGGTTTTACCATCTTGGCCAGGCTGGTCTCGAACTCCTGATCTTGTGATCCACCCACCTTAGTCTCCCAAAGTGCTGGGATTACAGGCATGAGCCACTGCCCCTGGCCAGAATCAGCTTACTTTTTAAGAAGGGAAACCGAGGGTGAAACATTCCAGCCTTTTTAGTTCTTTGAGCCCTAGCTCTCCAGCCTCTCTTAGGAGAACCCTTGAGCCTACCCCATTCCCTCAAATTGTTTAGGAATTCAGAATGGTTCCTGGTCTTTGTTCTCAGTTTGTCCTTGACCTAACTTTCTTTTTCTTTTCTTTTCTTTTCTTTTCTTTCTTCCTTCCTTTCCTTTCCTTTCTTTCCTCCCTCCCTCCCTTCCTTCCTTTCTTCCTTCCTTCATCCTTTCTTCCTTCCTTTTGTTTGTTTGTTCGTTCATTCATTCGTTTCACTCCTATTGCCCAGGCTGGAATGCAATGGCACTATCTCAGCTCATTGCAATCTCTGCCTCCTGGGTTCAAGTGATTCCCACACGTAAGCCTCTTGAGTAGCTGTGATTACAGGCTTGTGCCACCACACCCAGCTACTTTTGTATTTCTAGTAGGGATGGTGTTTCACTATGTTGGTCAGGCTGGTCTTGAACTCCTGACCTCGGGTGATCTGCCTGCCTCGGCCTCCCAAAGTGCCGGGATTAGTGGTGTGAGCCACCATACCCGGCCTGTCTTTGAACTTTCTGAGTGCAGCTCTTTTCTGGAAATTTCTCAGGGGACGCACCTGAAGCTCCAGGTCTCTGAGATGCTCTTTGGAGGGCCCGACCTTGTGGAGACGTTGCCAACTACATGGGCCTGGATCCGGGTTCAAACCCTGACTTTGGCACTACTCATTAGCTGTGTGACCTTGGGCTAGTTAATTATCACTCTGCAGGTCAGTTTCCTCACCTGTGAAATGGATATAGTAACAGACCTGATGAGATGATCCCTAGTGAGTCATTGGTGTTGCTGTGGCCACTGCCATTGTTGTTACTGGGAGAGTTTGGGATTTGGAATCCCGTGAGCAGGATTCTATTCTGGCTGAGCCACGCGCCAGCTATGCAGCTGTAGGAAGTCACTTCCTCTCTGAGCCTTCACTTCCCACTCTCTAAACCGGGGCTCACACGTTGCATTGCAGTTTGGGGGTGGATCTGTTGTAAGAGTGGACAGAAAAAAGGATGGTCAACTGGTCCGTGTGGTGCGTTGTGGGCTGTCACCCCCGGTCTGCCCTGGTCTCCTGCCAGCCTCTCTGTGGTTTGATGCAGACTTGACTTTCCCGGAATTCTGAACGTTGCCTTTCTAAGCAAAGCCTGCCAGGGGTTTCCATGGTGTCTTGTTTTCCATGGTGCCGTGTTCCCAGCCCTGTCCACACTGGCTTCTGACCAACTGCTTCCTCACACTGCCGTTCCTACAAGGCCGTGTGGCTTCATGGTTAAGGGTGAGGGTTCTGCAAGGGTCAGTCTGATGTGAGTTCCAGTCCTAGGTCCACCACTTACTGGTCAGATGACCTCAAGTAAGTTGCCAACCAAGTCTTACCCTCTTAAGAGCTCAGTTTTTCTTCCTGTAAAATGGGGCTAATAATAGTACCTGCCTCAGGGAAATAGGGGTTGAAAAATGATCTTATGAAATCCCCCTGCCCTACTACCGGAGCCAACTCAGTCAGTGGGGCTCCATGATCACTGCTGGGATCTGGGCTTGTGGGGCTGCAGGGGTCTTTTCGGGCCTCCTCATTGCTGCGTTGGGAGGAGGTGGAGGTGTTTGTATTACTGAGAGCATGTGGGCGAAAGGTCCATAATACTTGAGCACCAGCTGACCCAGGCCACAGAGGCCACTCGTCTTGGTCTGGTGACCACAGGAGGCGGTGGCTGTTGGGACGACCCTCCCCAGCATTGGCAACAGCAGTCCCAGGCCATGTCCTGCTGGCTCGAGTTCCCCTGTCCTCTTGTGGATGTCCCTAGAGCTATGGCCTCAAGGTTTCTGAAGTTCCCAATAATGTGACATGCCGCCCAGATCTCACTAAACCATTTTTTCATTTTGAGACAGGGTCTCACTCTGTCACCCGGGCTGGAGTGCAGGACATGATCACAGCTCACTGCAGCCCCTGCCTCACAGGCGCAAGCCATCCTCCCACCTCAGCCTCCTGAATAACTGTGACCACAGGTACCCACCACACCCAGCCAACTTTTCTATTTTCTGTCCAGATGGAGTCTTGCTATGTTTCCCAGGCAGACCTTGAATTCCTGGGCTGAAGAGATCTGCCTGCCTCAGCCTCCTAAAGTGCTGGGATTACAGGCCTGAGCCACTGCGTCCGACTCACCACACTCCTTACCTACCCCCTGCACCTCAAGAGTGAACCTTAAAAAGTTGTCTTCACGGGCCACAGGCTGAAAAACTAGATCTTACCCTCAAATGTGTCTTGTTTGGCCACCTTCTTTTTTTTAACAACAACAAAAATTTTTTAAAATAGATGTAACATAAAATTTACCATCTTAAGCATTTTTTTTTTTTTTTTTATGACAGAGTCTTGCTCTGTCATCCAGGCTGCAGAGCAGTGGCACAATCTCAGCTCACTGCAACCTCTGCCTCCTGGGTTCAAGGAATTCTCCCACCTCAGCCTCCTGAGTAGCTGAGACTACAGGCGTGCACCACTACACCTGGCTAATTTTTGTATTTTTAGTAGAGATGGGGTTTCACCATGTTAGCCAGGCTGGTCTTGAACTCCTGCCTCAGGTGATCCCCCTGCCTCAGTCTCCCAAAGTGCTGGGATTACAGGTGTGAGCCACCACCCCCGGCTGAGCTGAAGCATTTTTAAGAGCAATACATTCTCATTGTTGTGCAACCACTGTCACCATCTGATATGGTTTGGCTCTCTGTCCCCACCGAAATCTCATCTCTAATTGTAATCCCCACATGTCAAGGGAGGTACCTGGTGAGAGGTGAATGAGCTCCATGCAGTTCTTGTGATAGTGAGTTCTCATGAGGTCTGATGGTGTAAAAGTGGCAAGAATGCATTCAGCATTCTTCCTACATGTACATACTGAACACCTACTGTGTACCACGCACTGTTCCAGGCACTGGGGAGTCCAGGGCTGAACGCAGCAGACAAAAACCCCGGCCTTCACAGACCTTTCATTTGCATATATCATCTCATTTAATCCTCGAGACAGCCTTGATGAGGTAGCCTCATTACACAGATAAGGAAGCCAATTAAGAGGCGTGTCCAAGGTTACCCAGCAAGGTTGCCCTTTGTATGCTTACTCTCCCTCTCCTGCTGCCATGAAGACATGCTTTGTGTCTCTTTCTGCTAGGATTGTAAGTCTCCTGAGGCCTCCCTAGCCATGTGGAACTGTGAGTCAATTAAACCACTTTAATTTGTTTGTTTATTGATTTAATTTTTATTTTTTGAGACGTAGTCTCTGTTTCCCAGGCTGGAGTGCAGTGCCATGATCTCAACTCACTGCGACCTCCTCCTCCTGGGTTCAAGTGATTCTCCTGCCTCAGTCTCCAAGTAGCTGGGATTACAGGTGTATGCCAACATGCCCGGCTTTTGTATTTTTAGTAGAGAGGGGGTTTCACCATGTTGGTCAGGCTGGCCTCAAATGTCTGACCTCAAGTGATCCACCTGCTTCGGCCACCCAAAGTGCCGGGATTACAGGTGTGAGCCACCGTGCCGGATGAAACCTCTTTTCTTTATAAATTACCCAGTCTCAGGTATTTCTTTATAGCTGTGTGAAAACTGACTAATACGCCATCCATCTCCAGAACTCTTTTCATCTTCCCCTACTGAAACTTGGGCCCCATTGAACAGTAACTCCTCAGGCTTCATCTGTCTTCATGGGTTTGACTACTCTAGGACCTCATGTAAGTGAATCATACAATATTTGTCCATCTGTGACTGGGTTATTTCCCTTAGTATAATGTCCTCAAAGTTCATCCATGTAGCATGGGTCAGAATTTTCTTTTTTTTTTCTTTCTTTCTTTCTTTCTTTCTTTTTTT